AATTACCATTACCAATATTTTTTTATCAGCAAAAATTACCTTCTTATATTTTTCAATAAGATCTAATTCATTTTCAAGTTCATTTAAAGGTCTATATGAATTCATTACCTTATATGATATAATATAATCTTTTAATGTAATCTTTTTTTTCAAAGTTTTTTGAATTATTTAATTTATTTTTTCTACAAAATTTTTATAAATAACAGGTTGAATAGTTAAAGACTTTGCTGTAAACGTTTTTATATTTTTGCTTTTAACAATTATTTGTACTTTTACTTTTTCAATATTATCTTCTTTAATATTATTATCTATACTATCATCATTACTATTATCTTCTTCTTCAATACTATCTTTTTCTTTAATACTATTTTCTTCTTCAATATTATTTTCTTTAATAGTATATTCTTCTTCTAAAGATAAATTATTTTTAACATCCAATTTTTCTAATGAAGCATCAAAATCATCCAGTTTATCATTATTATTATCTTTTTGAAATTTCTTATTTTTACTTCTTAAACATTAAAATTTACTATTACAAGTACCACAAAAAATATAAGTAAATAATTCTTTAAAGTTACTATTAAAACTAAACTTATTATTTAGTAGTAAATAAAAATAAATCTGCTAATAATAAAAGTTTACTTAAAATAAAAGTATAATGATATAACTATTACCTAGACTTTGGATTACTAATTTTTAATAGTTTTATATTTTTTTCACATTACATAGAATTTTTGTAAGAGTTTAAAGCAGTATAAATACTTTTAATAGATATAATAAATACCTTAAATATATTTACAAATAGTTTCTGCCATTATCAACATTTATTTTTTTTGAATATGTGTTTGATAGTAAAATATAAAATGCATGTTTTTAATAGTTTTCAATAGTTTTAAGTATTTGTAATATTTAATTAGTATTAAAAAAGAGTTGATAAAAATGTGGATCGTAATTTATGATAAGAGTTTATTTAATTACTGCTTAGGTTGATAAAACTTTTACAAGCTTATTATATTCTTATATCTCAATTTCATCTCCAAAAGTAGTTTCTTAAATGAATAAATGATATTAAAAATTAAATATTTATATATTTAATTATATTAATATAAAGTAATATTATTCACTTTTTCTTTTGCTTGTATTTTTATTATTTTTATTATTATTATCATTATAATTATTATGCCTAATACAAGAATTTTTACGTATTCTCTTTTATTATTAAATTTTCACTTGCTAAGTGATTATAATAATACTTTGCTTTATTATAAATATGATACACTTTCTTTATTATTGTAATATTTTATATATATTCTTTAATACAATAAAAACATACAGCATATTTATTAGTTTTATTATAAGGATTTAATACCAATTCAAAGTATAAATAAAAAAGATGTGATTGTTTGCATATTTTTATTTAAAAAATTAATAAAGTATAGGAAAAAATAGTAATTATATAATAAAGAATTTAAAGAAATATCTTATTTAAAATTACGCTAATAGAGAAATAATGTAAAATAAAAATAATTTAAGTTAAAATGATTAATGTTTAAATTAATAATATTAATAAAAGAATTTATTAAAATAATAAATAAATTTAAATAATAATAAATTTTTATTTATATACCTAAAATAACATTTTTTAAATTAAAGTATTATAGCATTTAAGCATTCTATCTACAAATAAAGTATTACAAATATCTTTTAAAATTAGATTAATATATACTATACATTAATATTTAAAATGCTTAGATATTTTTAATAATAATTTGTTATACAGCTTAAATATTAAAACTAGTATCTGTTATAATAGCTGATATTTTTTTTGAACTAACTTTTTAAAACTAAAACTATTTCTTCTACTAATAGTTCTTTAGTATTCCTTTCATTAGATAAATTTCAAAGATTTTATAAATATTGACAATGATCAGATATATATAAAATAAAATTTCAAATTAATTCATTAAAAGAATTACTCTATCTAAGATTTTATTTTTTTGAAAAAGGTTTACTAATTTCACCTGCTTTTATTATTAAATATTTTAAAAAATATCTTGAATTTCTACCAGAACTTTTACATACTGTGATAAGTAAAATTTTTGATAGATTTAATTAGTAGATTAGAAAGTCAATTTTATTATTATGTAGATCTTATAAAAAGATCATTTTGTCTATTTTATTGCCATTAATCAATTATATAAATCCTTAGATAACAATTTTATTGTCTTGACAATTATTAGATCATAGATTTTTATTTAGTGTAGATCTGATAATTTTATTAGCACAGCAACTTTATTGCCTAGTGAAATGATAACTTTATTTCCTTCAATATATTTAATTTAGTTTAGTTTTATTTATCCTTTTAAGATTTTATTTAAAGCTATGAAACTATCATAATAATACAAATTTTCTAAGTAATTTTCAAGAGTTGCTGGTAAGCCTTTATACTAAAAAGCTTAACAAAATATTATATGTCATATTCTAATTATCTTTTGAAATTTATTTTTCTTATTGAATATATATTCTCCAAACTATTGATTTAGATTTTTCACTAACTTTTTATTAGGTAATAAAGTATTATCAGTTGAAGTAGTTGAATTAGTCTTTATTTTGTAAAATGCAAATATGTTATATTTGTCTTATCAATGATATTATATATTTTATCTTTACATAATAATTAAGTTGCAGAGAATTTCAATTAATTTAGATTAAATTTCAGATTTAGGTAGTATTAGATTCATTTAGATATTTCAGAATTTTTTTGTTGAGGCATTATCTAGATTTAGATTTAAATTGAACATAATAATCAGATTTTACCTAAACCTTTAACTTAGACACTTTTACAATATCAATTTATTAAACTTAATAATGATATATATATTTAATATTTTACTTTTTCTTTTTTATATCTTTATTTTTAAATAATTATAGTAGAATGATAGATTGTTAAGCCTAAATAATTTTTTATTAATCATTTTAAAAAGAAATGATTAGAGAAAAAATCATCATATAAAAGTTTGGCAGTTAAAATTTTATTGTTCCTTTGATTTGTTGAGTTCTTAACTATAATTCTCTCTAATCTGATCTAAGTATATTAAACTTTAATATAACAATAACTATTATATAAATATATTTTTTAAAACATATTTTGATTTGAAAATTTGTTAAATAATATATCAATATTTACTATTTAAAGTAAGTTTATCAGATATAATTACTATACTAGTATTTTTTTTAAAGCTTAGTTTAATATTTATTAAATGACTTATAAAAGGATTAGTAATTCATAACAAAATCTTTTAAGATTTTCGGTAGATCTTAGAATTTTAAGAATATTATTAGTCTCAATTTATTATCTAAAATGAAAATAAAAGATATTATATATGAAGAATTTTTTTTAGTTTAAAAATTTTTAGTGAAATGTAAAGTATATATTCAAAAAATTAATATTTTTCATATAATTAGAATAGCATATTTTTCTATGTCAATAATCAGGCAAACCACAACAAAGCTTCATATTAAAAAATTTTAACTACTTTATAATAATAAAAGGAGTTAATATGAGAAAATATTGAAACAAAATAATGTTAATAAATTTTAGGCAATTTCTATTTGTACACAGGGTGTTTGAACAGGATCACATGACATGTCCAGCATTAACTTTATTTTCGCAGGCATTAATAAATTAAGAAATTAAACATGTGACGGATATTTAGTGACGAATACACCTAAAAATTCTAAGTTCCTGAAATAAATAGTAAAAACTAAAGGTGGAGGGTGTGACACCAGTGACGTAACCAATATATGTTACGAGATCTGGTGTGACGACTTAGAAATTTTCTAAATTTTATTAAAGTAAAATCGATAGCACGAGCACAAAAATAATTGTTCCCACTAAAATGATATAAAAATTTCTCATAATACAGTTAATACAGTTTCTGTTAAGAATAGATTTGTGAAGGTTTTTTTTTTTTTTAGGAAATACTTTAATCGGCTGCCGAATAAAATAAAACCTAATGCAAAAGCCTTTAAAGAAGTGAGAGTAAGGTTTGAGCATATTTATCGATCATGTCATCCGAGCTTGATTTATTGAGGCTGAGTAATCTGAGCAAGGGATCAGGAATGAAGCAGTTTATAGAGAAGAACATCAATCACAAAGCTGAAAATATTGAGTTTTAAGCCAGAATTGAGGAGCTATAGAAAATAAGACAGATAACACTAAACACATGTCCGAGAATGCTGGGCTTAGAGATAGCGTCATGAAATTGGAACTGAGGCAGATGCTAAATGATGATTATTCTAGCACAGTTTAATTCTTGCCTTCAAGCGTGAGTGAAAAGTAATATGGAGACTGATGCTTTCTTAGATGAGATGCATAAGCAAAGCGTTGATGATGAGATAAGGCGACGCTTCTGAATATACTGTTGAACTAATGTACTAGGTTAAGTTCATAGTTATTTCGAACCAGTGGAAAAAAGAAATCGTTCTCAACTCAGGTGTCAATAGTTTGTCTCAGAAAATCAGTCTTAATTCTAGCACTAAGCTAGTATCAAAAAAACTCTGATCACTCTAATAGTTTACGAATGATAACGATAGCAGTAGTCGCAGTGGTTTTTATTAATAATTAAATACAGAAAAAGTACTGTCATTGCTCTGAAAGTTTTGCTTCTAACCATCCCTTCATGCAAGCTCGCAAATATATATTTAGCCTTTTCCTATTCACATTCTCTCAATAATAATAAAAAAAAATACAATTACGCGCAGTAAAAATTTGTTTCTTTTTTTTTGTGTCATCACTTCAATTTTTAAAAAAAAAATACTGATCCACAGCAAAGAATACGATTTCTTTCTTATGTTGTAAGAAATTTTAGGTGCGAACATTTTTTTCTTTGGTTGAGTTACCCCTCATGTAAACGATTTCCGTAATAATAATATCGAGTTTCTAGATTTGAATTGAGATGTTTAAAATTGGTAAGTTTGCACTTATTAAGGAATAATCATTAAGTAACGTAACCTACTTTATTAACGTCGTCCATTCGTTTATTAACGTCGTCCATCCGTTTATTAACGTCGTCCTTAACATTATCAATCCGAACATTAAGCCGTCCTTCAGCTTGATCTATTCGTTTATTAACCCGTTCTTCTGCTTTATCGATCCGTTTATCAACCTGATCAATAGTATTATTGATTCGTCTATCAACCTGATCAATAGTATTATTGATCCGTTTATCAACCTGCTCTTCAGCTTGCCTGATCATTTTCCAAACGCCTATAAGCGTTCCACAACCAATTCCTGCAATTGTAGTATAAACACGTACATCTTCGGAATTCACTAATTTTCATATAGTAAAAAATTAATTTTATTTAATAAATTTTATTACAACACCATAACACTTACTATTACGCAACATCGATTTGGCCATTCCAGTTGACAAACGTCTGATATTAGAAAAAAGTAGTTCAAGTTTATTCATAACGTAAAAAAAAGTTTTAGAAAGAGTTATAGAAAAAATTTTAAAATATAAGTTTAGAAAAAGAAAGTTTTAGAAGAAAAGTTTTAGAAAAAAAATTTTAGATAGTTGGGTATAAATACATACCTATAAACTTTCGTATAAACTTTCGATAGACTTGATCAATGACGCAATTTTTCAGTCTTATTAAGTAGTAATGTGGCATTGTCATGTGATTAGTCATAGCATCCTTAACTTAAAGGTGGCCTTAATCCTAAACCGGGATGTACGATAAGATCTGATATATAAATAAGATTATTTTTTTTATTTTTTTTTTTACAGCTCACTTCGTTTACTACGACTTTTGCTGTAAATTTTGTTTTAGAAAAGTATGTTATTTCTTTTTTACAGTTTTTTTTTTTATTTTATTTATTTTTATTCTGTGGTTGAACCAATTTTTAAATATAAAATATGCCGAAATATTTTTTATTGTAAACTTAGAATAAAAATGTGAAGAAGAAATAAATATTAATCTTTTTAGTATCATAGAAGTGTAAATTTATCGTCTTACTAAGGTAATGTTGTTACTGCATGTCTTATAAGTATAAATGACGACCATTTTTATTTTATTAAGCCGAATAGGTGTTAGTATACTTCTGCAGGCATTAATATAGAACCATCCTGTAGCAATTTATATGTCACAGCTTCAAGTAGGATCATGTATTTTAATTAATAAGAAATTTAAGATACATATGTATCAAAAATGATTTTTTCGTATGTATCAGAATATTTGGCCATTTCTTTATGTGATCCATATAATTCGAATCCATTAACTCAGAATTGTCTTACGTGATCGTAATTTCCGAATTTGATTCTTAGAACTATGACCGACGATGAAATTTTATTCGATGATCATTGTGTAGCGGAATCATTCCTAATTCTTTTTCATAACTGGACTTGGCACAGAATCGCCAGCTTCATTTATAAAATGGTTTTGTAGAGATATAGCAAGTCCGTATATGAAGCAAAGCTAAGGAGATTCCACATTATCATATTGCTCGATATTAAGAAAAATTCCCTCACTACCTTTTTTTAACACTTCCCATTGGAAAAAAAAGCTTAGTCACGCCGGTGATGGGAAATGAATTATAGTCGTTTCATAGCCGTAGTACAGTATATTTTCTTTCTCGTCCAACACTATTAGGGTTGACAGATCTTGTCAATCTGACTTTCGGTTGAAATTTGGGTTATTAATTAATTGCTGGATTAATCTATTATTTTTTTTTATAGGCAATGTATGGAATATCAATTGACCGGATTCCACGATAAGAAACTTACGTGATGATTCTATGGACGAAAATTTCGATTATTGGATTCAGGATATATATGAAGTAAACAATTTATTATTCGTTAACTGGATTTATATATAAATACTAATCAAACTTGTCTTTCTTAAAATTCCACACGGGTTTATGGAAATACAAAATATGAAGCGAGAAGGCGCTTTCCAGTTGCGTGAGCTTGCACAATTGTAAATTATACAGACACATCACGACCCATAGAATAAAATATTTCCCTCCGTACTTTCCAGCAAATATCGGTTCATCATTGATCCAGAACTTCGTGATGCAATCATTACTTACCGATTCCAAGATCACGCGGGGTATATCAGGTTCTAGAAGAATATCATTGCTTTTCGAATTTTCCACTAGATGTTTCAAGCAAGCTTTTCAGACATATTGCTATTGACATTCGCCAGAAAATCTCTGTCGTATCGGTGCAATAATACTTCCGTGGGTTTCCATCATCTGATTTTCGAAAATATGCAACTAATCATTTCCACGTCGAATTCTGGCGCAGTATTGTAATAAAAATCACTGGGGCTCTACTTAGTCGAAAGAAATTCCTTAGCGGTCTTGGAAATAGACTGTAGATGAGCTTTGTATCGGCATATATGAGATTTCCGAAATCTGGTAGAGATCGAATCTGTAGATTGGAAATTCTGTATTCACATTAGTGATAGAAAAATATTAGCATTAATGTACAATTTAGCGGAGCCAAAGAATAGGAGCAGTCAATGCTTTCGGGAGAGCTTTGGGTCCGATTGCTAGTGTTCTATTTTTTAGAGCGCACAAAATATTATTTTTATATTCTATTAACGTTAACGAAGTACCTAATTGCATATAAAAAGTTTTCGCCATATCGGCCTTTCATTTTTTAATTATGTATGCGGTTATTCGGGTTGCGTCTTGAACTTGTATTTATTTTAATGTATCGCAAATAAAATTAATTTTTTGTGCATGCTTATTTGGCTAGTAATGAGACATCCCATCTATGCCACGGTAATATTTTGATCGCTCCAAGCTAATGCATCCTAATACAATTCTTGTACGCTTTAATATATAACTTTCATAAATTTCAATTTATTTATATAAATGTTTGATAAAAGTTAAATATTGTAATGAATAAATTTATATACAGTATATAAAAAATAAAATTTATAAATTAATTACTTATTTCATCAACTTTTATATTTAAAGTTTCTGTAAATTAAAGTAAGTAATTTTAAAGTAAATTTATTTATGTTTATAAATTAATACATA